ACATGATATATAATACAAGAAATGTGCAAATCAGACGAAAAAGAATTTATTTAATTTTATATCCGAAAATGACAACATACTCCAAAGAAGATTATGACTGCACCAACACACATCTATTTTCAAGAGTGGATTTATCCAATATTTGTTCTATTAGAAGTAGGTACATCTCAAACAGAAATGCACATAAAAACTAAAAATGGAATTAATTGTATAGTAGATCATTGATAGATTATAGACACACCTTTGTTGTTTTTGAATTGAGCTTTTATGCAACTAATAGAGCAATTGTTACATGTCCGGATGATATTAAAATTAGGATTTTTATCTTATCGCGTAAGCCCCTAGTATGGATATTTAAACAATATGACCTTTCACAAAATAAACCTACATTTATTTTTTTTCTCTAAAATGTTTGAGCAAGACCTGTGAATTGGTAATTAAAAAATATGTTTATTTTGTTCAAAATTAACAAAGAAATTATTGAAAAAAATAAATATGACAATTTGGTAGAAAAATCATCTTGTTCAAAAGGTCCATATTTAGTCTGAAATAAAAAGTTTATTTGTACGAAAATGTTGCTTTAATCAATCTTGTTTGTTCAAATATGAGTGCCTCATTGTGTCAGTATACATGTATTCAGAATCCAGTATCTGGTATCTCAGAATTTTTATTCCTTTCATCTAAAATCAAACTATCATATCAATACAACAAAAATGTATTCATTTCTGAATTCTTTAATGAAGGAAAACATTTTCTTTTGTTCACATTGCATCTTTTACTTGAAAAGTAAAATATACTATTTGCTATGGCTGAAATATTTGCTGAATGCACTTGTAATGTGACACTACTTTTTTTATCTGTTTACTATGAAATATGCACTCACTTTATGTATATGCAAATTAGCTGTTTAACATGCATGAGTGCAGAATATTACTGCTACATTTGAATACAGGTCATTTCATTAGTAATGTAACTACACACTCTAAAGAAATTTTAAAACTACTTCAGTTCACAATACACAAATTTCTGTTAATTTTGTGAGTCCTGAGAAAAAATGTTTAACAATGCATTTTGCAAATTGTCAGTGAAAATGTATTTGGTTTATAGAATCTATTTTGTGCTTTGGTCTAACTATAGGTGTTTTTTATGATCAAAGGAAGACATCCTTCTTCGGGTGAAAAATAAAACATTTCTAAGAATTTTGAGCTGTAAATTTTTCTAATATAAAACGGATAACATATTATAGATTCCAATTAAGGTGTTTTTTTCATACTTTATATATGTAAGTACATCCTAGAAATATCAAGGATTTATTAGATAAAGAGTAGCGTGATCTTGATCTTGATATGAAATCACATCAATTGCCAGATTAACACATAATAGCATATTATAGCATAATTACATTTCAAGAAATACATATGAAAAGTTGTGACCTGGTTGGTGTTCATCTTGAGCTGTTTTTGCTAGTGTTATTGCATACTGGTATTCACAAAACATATTACAGATGTTTTTGTTTTTTTTAATGATTATCTCACTCATTTCTGTTAAAATATGTTTCCTTGGATGTGTACAAGGAACTCACAATATCATGAGATTTTCATTTTGTATCACTGTACTTCAAAATCTAAGTTACATATTCTTTTCTAATAAATTCTTGGTGATGTTCATATTGATCTTGTTTGTTTTAACAATGTTATTTGTTTGTGTAATGTAGTAATTATACATCTTGTCTATTGCAACAACTAGTAGTAGAGCTATTCTTACTATTTGCATTACATGACATGTGCTGCATTTTCATACTGAGCCTAAGTTATGGTACATGCTGTTAGGATGCCCATGCTATGCATACAAACAGCACCTAGACAGATGAACACACACATGGAATAAACTGTTAGAATGTCCATGCTATGCTTACAAACAGCACCTAAACCGATGAACACACACATGAGATAAACTGTTAAGATGTCCTTGCTATGCATACAAACATCACATAGACAGATGAACACACACATGGAATAAACTGTTAGGATGTCCATGCTATGCATACAAACATCACCTAGACAGATGAACACGCACATGGGATAAACTGTTAGGATGTCCATGCTATGCATACAAACAACACCTAGACAGATGTACACACAGATGGGA